AACGAGTCGACAAGAACCACTACACCCATACATCTCTCTCTCTCTTTCTCTCTCTCTCTCTCTCTCTCCTTCCTGCTCCTCTCTAACACACACACACACACACACCAGATGAAAGATCCAAAACATATGTTATAACACGTGGTGAAAAGCCCATGCTGCAAAAGCACGTGGTGGAATTCCCCTGTCATAAAATGCCCCCATAACATTTTTGACAGAAAATATCCTACATAGACTACTGGTGAAGACGGCGAGGGGAAAGAGTTCACTAATGGGATCCTCTTCAGTGTCTTGGGCCTCTTCATCCTCATCGCCTGGGTAACCTACAAAATCTCCCAGGGCCAAGATCGCTACAGCAACCAAGTGGGTGAGATGGAGATTGGTGCATCGCTCTACGTGGGATTTATCACCACAGTGCTACTCCTCTTTGGGGCGGGGTTTCTATGCAGCTCCTGCCCTCTATTTGGTCAACGGGAGGACTTGCTTGGCGATATGGAGACCAGCATTGTGCTTACGAGGACAAGACTTTACAATTCATACGCATGATACGAAGAGTTTTGGATTATGAGGGCAAGCCTGACAATATGTGAGAACAAGGCTTCTGGTATGAGGACAAGCATTGTCATATGAAGACAGGGCTTATGAGGAAAGCCTACGCATTTCTCTCAATAGTAAATGTTCATATGTGGGTAAGGTATCTGATGTATGAGTGGAATAGGGTGTGGGGTGAGGACGTGGGTTGAGTGGTGAGTGAAATAGGATGGTGATTTCATGGGTAATACAGGGAATTTGCCCTCAGTTTGACTTTAATCGGAACATCTGAGATATGAGATGACATCAATTGGACTTTTAGAACTTCCTTATTATGGATCATATTTATGGCTCCTCTTAGCAATAATCAGGATGTGTCCCAATTGGCACACTATTCCCTATATAGTGTATTACTTTTGACCAGAGCCAAAAGTAGTACATTATATCGGGAATAGGATGCCATTTGGGACGTTCCCACAGTCCTACTGAATACACAGTAAGCACCTGCCGTTCTAACTCCGGTATAATAATTATTATTACAGTGCTTCTCTATCCATACTGTTGTATATATCGATCTGCCCAGGGACTACAGTTGAAAACTAGCCAGAAGTCTAAATCTGGCACATTTACAGTGTCACACCCTGATCTGTTTCACCTGTCTTGTGCTTGTCTCCACCCCCCACCAGGTGTCTCCCATTTGTTCCCATTATCCCCTGTGTATTTATACCGGTGTTTTCTGTTTGTCTGTTGCCAGTTTGTCTTGTCTCATTAAGCCTACCAGCGTGTTTTTCCATGCTCCTGTTTTTCATAGTCTCTGTTTTCTAGCCCTCCCGGTTCCAACCTTTTCTGCCTGCCCTGACACTAAGCCCACCTGCCTGACCATTCAGCCTGCCCTGACCTCGAGCCTGCTTGCCGCCCTGTAACTTTCGGACTCTGACCTGGTTAATGAACTTCTGCCTGTCCTCAACCTGCCTCTTGCCTGCCCCTTGTATTTAATAAATATCAGAGACTCTAACCATCTGCCTCCTGTGTCTGCATCTGGGTCTCACCCTGTGTCGTTATATACAGAAATGTTGACTGATTTGCATTCCCAGAACATTAGTTGTAACATTAGGATGATGACATCCCCAAAACATTCAAATAATGTTTTTGATAACAAAATGTTGTTTTTCAGAAAATGTTTTAAATGAAATATCCTTGGGAATATTCTCCTAACATTCACTCAAATGTTGTGCACAACATCTGTGACAACCACCACAGAACATTCCCCAAATGTTCTCATTAGGTTTCCAGGTAATTTAATAACACAAGTAATGTTTTTAGAACATACTGCAGCAACAAAATTTGAGAGCAACGTTCTGGGAACATTCTTGCAACATCAGGCAAACAGATTTTGTGTTATCAGAACATTTGCCGCAACCTTACGGATGTTCTGGGACCTTTCACTGAAACAATTTTGGTTTGCTGGGTTGTCCCTGTCAAATAAATAAATACGTTGTATATAATATACCATTCATGCTGTTGTTTCTTTTAAATCAAGTAACAAGGTTTGCTCAGGGATGTGTACATCACATTTATCTACTTTATCTAGAGGTACTGTACTGTATCTAGAGAATCTGTGCAGACTGGTCACATCACTTTCACTGTCAACTTCAGGACCAGCTACAAATACAGATACACTATACACACATGAGCACATTCACACACGCGCACGTGCACACACAAAACCTGTATTTTTCTATTTTAAAAAATCACATAAACCTTTATTTTTTGGGGGTTCACCCAGACTGGCATTAGAATGGTCAAAAACGTTACATATTTATCAGTTTATTTTCTAAATCATGTTACATGAATGAATCACAAAATCTGTTGAACTTGTTTGACTAACATGGTAATTCAAGTTAATCCATTTTATCTTCCTGGGGAACATGACACCTGTAAGTTGCTTAACACACTGGAATGTGTTTCTGATAGAAAGAGAGAAGGAGGGAAAAGTGAGAGACTGAGAGGGATGTGTCGGGACAGTGGGAGAGAGTGAGAGGGAGAGGCAGAGAGAGAGGGACAGAGGCAGAGAGAGAGGGACAGAGGCAGAGAGAGAGGGACAGAGGCAGAGAGAGAGGGACAGAGGCAGAGAGAGAGAGAGGGGTAACGGAGAGATGTGGGAAAGACAAAAAGAGAGAGTAAGAGGAACTCCGAGTACACAGACGTGCAAAGAATGAAAGAGAAAGCAAGAGTGAGAAAAGTATCCAAAATATTGGAATTTTATAACAGCAATTCCTGCAACACGTGGCTACATATGAATCCTTTTGCAATATGTTTCATAACAAAGAAACTTCTGAACATTCTCAACATGATTTTCTAAATTTCCTAAAAGAAAAACACATGTCAAAATCAACGTAGGATGCCTCTTGAGCCCTGACCTAGCCCCAATTGCATAATGCTGATAATAACGCAGTTGTAACGTTTATAGAACCTAACACAAACGTTGTGTGACAACAAGGACTGATTGGACAGGTCTGCTGGTATATGGTAATGTTGTAAAATGTTAGTTTTTCTCCCATGATGACAATGGACAAATTAAGGTGTTGTGCTTTGAACGATTGCTAAGGAACAGTGCAAAATACAGATATACTTATGGTAAATATAATGATTTTGTTTTGAATGGATACACTACCAATCTATTTGCTATTATATATTGTGATTTCAGAAAGTATTCGTACCCCTTATTACACATTTTGTTGAGTTACAGCCTGAATTCAAAATGGATTCAATATATTTTTTTCTCACCCATCTACACACAATACCCCATAATGACGAAGTGAAAACATGTTTTAGAAATGTTTGCACATTTTTTGAAGTATTCACACACCTGAGTCAATACATGTTAGAATCACCTTTGGCAGCGAATAACAGCTGTGTCTTTTTAGTTAAGTTTCTAAGAGCTTTGCACACATGGATTGTACAATATTTGCACATTATTATAAAACAATTATTCAAGCTCAAGTTGGTTGATGATCATTGTTACATAGCCATTTTCAAGTCTTGCCATAGATTTTCAAGCCGATTTAAGTCAAAACTTTAACTAGGCCACTCAGGAACATTCAATGTCATCTTGGTAAGCAACTCCAGTGTATATTTGGCCTTGTGTTTTAGGTTATTGTCCTGCTGAAAGGTGAATTCATCTGTGTCTGGTGGAAAGCATACTGAACCAGGTTTTCCTCTAGGATTTTGACTGTTCTTTTTTATGTTTTTTACTGAGTTAGGAAGGAAGCCTGTATCTTTGTAGTGACTGGGTGTATTGATACACCATTTAAAGTGTAATTAATAACTTCACCATGCTCAAAGGGATATTCAGTGTCTGCTTTTTGTATGTTTTACCTATCTACCAATAGGTGTCCTTATTTTTGCGAGGCATTGGAAAACCTCCCTGGTCTTTGTGGTTGAATCTGTGTTTGAAATTCACTGCTCGACTGAGGGACCTTACAGAATATTGAATGTGTGGGGTACAGAGATGAGGTAGTCATTCAAAAATCATGTTAAAAACTATTATTGCGCACAGAGTGAGTCCATGCAACTTATTATGTGACTTGTTAAGAACATATTTACTCCTGAACTTATTTAGGCTTGCCATAACAAAGGAGTTGAATACTTATTGACTCAAGACATTTCAGCTTTTCATTTTCAATTAATTTGTAAAAATGTCTAAAAACATAATTCCACTTTGACATTATGGGGTATTGTGTGTAGGCCAGTGACACAATATCTCAATTTAATCCATTTTAGATTCAGGCTGTAACACAACAAAATGTGGAAAAGGTCAAGGGGTGTGAATACTTTCTGAAGGCACTGTACAAAATGAACTAGTTTAAATTGTATTTGGAAAGTCCTCTGACCATAAAGTTCCATAAAAATTCCCTATCGTCTATAAACATAAAATATAATGTGAAATGTACATGTATATTTACCAGTGATTTACCATGATATGTTATGACAGACTCACATATGCATGCGCGCACACACACAGTCATAACAAACATACAGACGTGTACACACAATCATACTCACACCCACAGAATAAATATACAGAAAGATACATTTTATACACACACACACACACACACATCCATTTGTTTATTCTCTAGCCTCTACTGGTCCTATACAGAGACTTGCTGGTCTTATTGTCTCTGTGTCGCTTTGTGTGTGTGTGTGTATGTGTGTTGGTGCATGTGTTCCCAGGCTCTGACACAGACAAGCTATTTGTGCACCCACACACACACACACACACACACACACACACACACACAGGCACAGTCACACGCTGCAACTGTGTTCTAGTTGGGTCTGTTCAGTGTTGTTTCCGTAGCTTTTCCACCGGGGGCTGAGACGGAGGATGAGAGCATGGTATCAGTGCCACTGAGTAACATGGTCCCGCTGTCTGTCTGTCTGCAGGAGCCTGGTTGGTCCTCCATCCTCTAGGGGCCGCCACTGTAGGAGTAGTCTGCCTTGTTGTGCATAACCAGCTTGTTGTCCACAAAGTAGAAACTGTCGGACTGCGTCTTGTATGGGTGCAGGATCATCTCTCGCACTACAGGGGGCGACAGTGAAACACAGTCACATGATATATATTAAAGCCAAACATATAAAAATCCCCACATGGCTGTGTCCGGATACCCATACTAGAGTATTATATACTTCAACTGCATAATATGTACTCATCGTCACGTACTATTTAGCACATACCGTTTAATAAAAAGCATGCAGTATGCCATGGCCACAACGCACTAGCGGATCCTGACTGGCTGAGTAGGTGGGGCGGGCCGAGTGTGGGTGGTTTTTCCAAATTCAACAGACATACATCTCATTAACCAGCCTGATAATAGCTAATTTCCTATTTGATTTTCTCTCTAAACTCTGAATAGAATAGGAATGGAGTTATACAGTGCCTTCAGAAAGTATTCACACCCCTTGACTTTTTCCACATTTTGTTGTGTTACAGCCTGAATTTAGAATGGATTAAATTGAGATTTTGTTCCACTGGCATACACACAGTATCCCACAATGTCCAAGTGGAATTATGTTTTTAGAAATGTTTACAAATTAATAAAAAATCAAAAGCTGAAATGTCTTGTGTCAAAACGTATTCAACCCCTTTGTTATGGCAAACCTAAATAAGTTCAGGAGTAAAAATGTGCTTAACAAGTCACGTAATAAGTTGCATGGACTCATCTTCAAAACCAAATCAAGCAGACGACAGAGTGTGACAGACGACTACGGTGGAGGGTCGACAGACACTGGAAAAGGAGTGAGTGCAAACTGAGCCTCTCAGAGCTGTGTCCTCTGAGAGGCTACACCGAACACTAACACGCAGTGCATAGAAGGAACAGCCGGCGACCTGCCACTGATAACTGACCAGACATCTCCCGACCCCCTGCGCTTCTCTCTCGCTCTCACATTCTACGAGAGACAGACAACAACACAGTTGTGCGGGGGGCTGGTGGGGGCGTCCACGGCCATGGAGGGATCATCTAAGTCCCCGGCAGAGCTGGGAAATGTTTGTTCCCTTGGACTGTCGGCGTGCAGCAGTGAAAACTAATTTGAATCTGCTGGGTACTCGCAAGCTATTAAATGTATACTATGCAACATGTTCGTAGTTGTCACGGGGAAAGGTCTGATGGATACCTTCATTTGTGAAACATTTATTGAACTTGATGCAGCTAAAAAAAAATGATTATTACTCTTCATGAAGAAATAAAACATTTGACCAAGCGCCTTGAACTGAATAAGGATCCTATGAGACTATCAGCATCTTTAAATGCTTCCTATCAAAACATCCAAGAGGATCATAATGGGACCTTCCTGGACTATGATCAATTTCCGCCACTGCACCCCTCTACTAGATGGAACCAGAAAATGGCTGCTCACTGTTTGACTCCAGGTGAGCGTCAATGGATGCGTGTCGGAACCAGAAAGAAGGAGAAGAATCATTCTCGGCGAGCCTGCCTTCTTCCCCCGCGTCCGGACTTAAGAATTTCAAATGGCTTTGAGCCCCTGTACCAGCTGTCTTCTGCCGGGGGCTTGGGTGTTCCCTCCATGGCTGTGGATGACCCTCCAGCTACCTCTCCCTGTCCTAGTCAATCAACTGCCTGGGCACAGCCTGGACCACCGCGGCCCACCTCCGTTGGGCATTGCTCTCTGGATCAGAGCTCTGTCCCTTTGGCGGTTGTGGCCTGCACGCAGCCGGCGTCTCAGCAGCGCTCTTCTCAGGTGAGTTCTGTGGCTCTGTCTTCGCAATCTGCTTCAAGACACAGCAGAGGCTGGATCATTCCGGCGATTGTGACAGGGAGTTCGATGGTGAGGCATATACAGTGGGGGAAAAAAGTATTTAGTCAGCCACCAATTGTACAAGTTCTCCCACTTAAAAAGATGAGAGAGGCCTGTAATTTTCATCATAGGTACACGTCAACTATGACAGACAAAATGAGAAAAAAAATCCAGAAAATCACATTGTAGGATTTTTAATGAATTTATTTGCAAATTATGGTGGAAAATAAGTATTTGGTCACCTACAAACAAGCAAGATTTCTGGCTCTCACAGACCTGTAACTTCTTCTTTAAGAGGCTCCTCTGTCCTCCACTCGTTACCTGTATTAATGGCACCTGTTTGAACTTGTTATCAGTATAAAAGACACCTGTCCACAACCTCAAACAGTCACACTCCAAACTCCACTATGGCCAAGACCGAAGAGCTGTCAAAGGACACCAGAAACAAAATTGTAGACCTGCACCAGGCTGGGAAGACTGAATCTGCAATAGGTAAGCAGCTTGGTTTGAAGAAATCAACTGTGGGAGCAATTATTAGGAAATGGAAGACATACAAGACCACTGATAATCTCCCTCGATCTGGGGCTCCACGCAAGATCTCACGCCGTGGGGTCAAAATGATCACAAGAACGGTGAGCAAAAATCCCAGAACCACACAGGGGGACCTAGTGAATGACCTGCAGAGAGCTGGGACCAAAGTAACAAAGCCTACCATCAGTAACACACTACGCCGCCAGGGACTCAAATTCTGCAGTTCCAGACGTGTCCCCCTGCTTAAGCCAGTACATGTCCAGGCCCGTCTGAAGTTTGCTAGAGTGCATTTGGATGATCCAGAAGAGGATTGGGAGAATGTCATATGGTCAGATGAAACCAAAATATAACTTTTTGGTAAAAACTCAACTCGTCGTGTTTGGAGGACAAAGAATGCTGAGTTGCATCCAAAGAACACCATACCTACTGTGAAGCATGGGGGTGGAAACATCATGCTTTGGGGCTGTTTTTCTGCAAAGGGACCAGGATGACTGATCCGTGTAAAGGAAAGAATGAATGGGGCCATGTATCGTGAGATTTTGAGTGAAAACCTCCTTCCATCAGCAAGGGCATTGAAGATGAAACGTGGCTGGGTCTTTCAGCATGACAATGATCCCAAACACACCACCCGGGCAACGAAGGAGTGGCTTCGTAAGAAGCATTTCAAGGTCCTGGAGTGGCCTAGCCAGTCTCCAGATCTCAACCCCATAGAAAATCTTTGGAGGGAGTTGAAAGTCTGTGTTGCCCAGCGACAGCCCCAAAACATCACTGCTCTAGAGGAGATCTGCATGGAGGAATGGGCCAAAATACCAGCAACAGTGTGTGAAAACCTTGTGAAGACTTACAGAAAACGTTTGACCGGTGTCATTGCCAACAAAGGGTATATAACAAAGTATTGAGAAACTTTTGTTATTGACCAAATACTTATTTTCCACCATAATTTGCAAATAAATTCATAAAAAATCCTACAATGTGATATTCTGGATTTTCTTTTCTCAATTTGTCTGTCATAGTTGACGTGTACCTATGATGAAAATTACAGGAATCTCTCATATTTTTAAGTGGGAAAACTTGCACAATTGGTGGCTGACTAAATACTTTTTTTCCCCACTGTATCTGTACCTGGGGCAAAGACTTTGTGTTTTCCATGGGCAAAAGTTCAGTTCTTCCCGAAGCTGTGAGTCAGTCATCGGGGGCTGATACTGTTATGGTTCATGTGGGGTCAAATGACATTATGAAGGGCAGCTCAGAACAGCTGAAGATTGATTTTAAAGAACTGATTGGGTCTCTACTTGACACCAACAAACGGCCCATAATATCTGTCCCTCTGCCGTCCCTAAATCGTGGCATTGAACGGTTCAGCAGACTTTTAGCCCTCCGTAACTGGCTACGAGACTATTGCAGCTCTGTGGGTGTAATATTTATTGACAATTTTGATACCTTCTGGAAACAAAGCTTGTAAGGAGGATGGGATCCAGCCAAATTATTTGGGTTCCTGGATCCTTTCACAGCATTATAAGGCTGCGTTGAGACAATGACTTATCAATGACCGAAGTCCAGCTCATTTAATCCCTGCCATTGTGTCGCTGAGTTGTCATAACGTTTTACAAATGTACATTATCCTAGGGGCGTTGGAAGACACAATGTAAATAACCTAATTTATGTCCCTCTTACTGCCCGGAATGCCTCTGCTGTTCCTACAGCTATTGTATGCAGTAATCATATGCCTATGAACCAGCGTAATACTGTTAGCACTGAGGTGGTGTGCCCTAGTAGGAAGTCCACTGTGTACAGCTCACTCTGCACTAATAAGAATAACCTGAGTATGTATACCTCTGCTAATCTTCCCAGTAAAGCAAGAAAAATAATCAAGCATCCCAGAAAAGTATTAATAATAGCCCACGTTAAAACATGTAGCTTAAGAAACAAGGTTCATGAAATCAATAATTTGCTAGTAACAGATGACATTCATATTCTGACAATCTCTGAAACTCACTTAGATAATACCTTTGATGATACAGTGGTAGCAATACAAGGTTATTACATTTACAGAAAATACAGAAATGCCACCGGGGGCGATGTTGCGGTCTATATTCAGAACCACATTCCTGTAAAGCTTTGAGAGGATCGCATGTTAAATACTGTTGAAGTAATATGGCTACAGGTTCATCTGCCTCACCTAAAGCCCATTCTGGTGGGAAGCTGCTATAGACCACCAAGTGCTAACAGTCAGAATCTGGATAACGTGTGAAATGCTTGATAATGTATGTGATATTAATAGAGATGTATATTTTCTGGGTGATTTAAATATTGACAGGCTTTCATCAGGCTGCCCACTCAAGAGAAAGCTTCAAACTGTAACTAGTGCCTGCAACCAGGTTCAGGTGATCAATCAACCTACCAGGGTGGTTACAAACAGTACAGGAATGAAATCATCAACATGTATTGATCACATCTTTACTAATGCTGCAGAAATTAGTTTGAAAGCAGTATCCAAATACATCGGATGTAGAGATCACAATATAGTAGCCATATCTAGGAAAACCAAAGTTACAAAGGCTGGGCCTAATATTGTGTATAAGAGGTCATACAATACGTTTTGTAGTGATTCCTATGTTGTTGTGAAGAATATTTGTTGGTCCGTGGTGTGTAATGATGAGCAACCAGACGCTGCACTTGACACATTTATGAAACTGCTTATCCCAGTTACTAATAAAAGCATGTACCCAATAAGAAAATGACTGTAAAAACTGTTAAATCGCCACGGATTGATGAGGAATTGAAAAATTGTATGGTTGAGAGGGATGAGGCAAAAGAGATGGCAAATAGGTCTGGCTGTACAACCGATTGGCAAACGTACTGCAAATTGAGAAATCATGTGACTAAACTGAATAAAAAGAAGAAGAAACTACACTATGAAACAAAGATAAATGACATAAAGAATTATAGTAAAAAGCTTTGGATTACCTTAAATGAAATTTTGGGCAAAAAGGCAAACTCCGCTCCATCAGATGGCTCATTCATCACAAAACCCAACTGATATTGCCAACTACTTTAAGGATTTTTTCATTGGCAAGATTAGAAAACTTAGTTATGACATGCCAGCAACAAACACAGACACTACACATCCAAGTATATCTGACCAAATTATGAAAGACAAGCATTGTAATTTTGAATTCCGTAAAGTAAGTGTGGAAGAGGTGAAAAAAATATTATTGTCAATCAACAATGACAAGCCACCGGGGTCTGACAACTTGGATGGAAAATTATTGAGGATAATAGCGGATGATATTGCCACTCCTATTTGCCATATCTTCAATTTAAGCCAACTAGAAGGTGTGTGCCTTCAGGCCTGGAGGGAAGCAAAAGTTATTCCCCTATCTAAGAATAGTAAAGCCCCCTTAACTGGCTCAAATAGCTGACCAATCAGCCTCTTACCAACCCTTAGTAAACTTTTGCTATTTTACATTAACAAACTGACAACAGACTTTCAGCACGCTTATAGGGAAGGACATTCAACAAGCACAGCACTTACACAAATAACTGGCTGAGAGAAATTGATGATAAAAAGGTTGTGGGGGCTATTTAATTAGACTTAAGTGCGGCTTTTGACATTATTGATCATACACTGTTGCTGGAAAAACGTATGTGTTATTGCTTTACACCCCCTAATATATTGTGGATAAAGAGTTACCTGTCTAAAAGAACGCAGAGGGTGTTCTTTAACCTCTACGGGATCGGTGTCCCGTATACGGGACGGTTGAGCTAACGTGCGCTAATGTGATTAGCATGACTGTTGTAAGTAACAGCAAACTTTCCAGGACATAGACATGTCTTATATGGGCAGAACTCTTAAATTCTTGTTAATCGAACTGCACTGTCCAATTTACAGTAGCTATTACAGTGTAAAAATACCATGCTGTTGTTTGAGGAGAGTGCACAACAACAAAAAAATGATCACGGCAACTGGTTTGATACATTCACCTCTGAAGGTAAATTATGTACTTACATACATACTTACTCTGATTTGTCATTCTAAGGGTCCCAGAGATAAAATGTAGCATCGTTTTGTTTGATAAAATCCATTTTTATATTCAAATGTAGGAACTGGGTTCTACAGTTTGAACCCCTGTTGTCTCTGGCTCCACACCCAACCCGCTCGGCCATTAATGTAAAAGTGGAGGAGAGATTGACTTCATCACCACTTGTATTTGTGAGAGGTATTGACATGTTGAACGCATTGGACCCCCATGCATACCCCACAAAACATGCCACCAGAGGTCTCTTCACAGTCCCCAAGTCAAGAACAGACTATGGGAGGTGCACAGTACTACATAGAGCACCGGTGCGTCAATCTAAGTAACATAACAAAAAAATCCCCATCAAAATCTGTCAGTTTAAGTTAGAGATATCAGTTTTTTTGCATGGGCTGTTTCTCAATCTGCCGCATCCACCTATGTCGCACTTCCGCATCTGCGGTGAAAGGTGGCAGAGCTATAGTGTTTTTTGTCAGACCATGAGACATCCTGAAAATCGGTCTTTTCACGAAAACGTCTGTAGCATCCGAACGGTTTGACCTACTACTTTTAGCCATTTATGAATTTTCTTTTGATACCTAAAGGGGTCCTAAAATTCCAAATCAAATAGCTAAATAATACATAGTATGACCATCTTAAAACAATTCCATATGTCAGTTTAGCACCCCGTCCCCCCAGCATCTTAGACTCTAAAGAATTAACTACTACAAACAAATTAAAATTACAATAAACAAAAGTGGCCATTTGATTTGCAAACACAGATCTGCGCTTTACTGCGCTACAGAAACACCACTAACCAAACACACTAAATTAAAGGGCAACTACACAAAAAAACTAAACGTTTCTTAGATTTTTCCCAGACATCAAAAGTCGTCCCCTTATGTGGTTTAAGCATTTTTGGGAACACAACAAATCCATTTTAAAACAAATAAATATATTAAAAGTGTGAAAAACTGGGGGGAAAACATATTTTTTTTAAATGGGGGGGATACGAAACCTGGAAAAACTAAACCGAGAAAATGGAATTTGGGAAAAATACTGAATTGGGGGGCCAAATATTTTTTACAGATTTTAAAAGGCCCCACCAACGTCTTTTGCTGTTCATAACTGCACCTTAGAGTGTGTCATCCTGCAGCACAGCATTTTGGGGAATGTTGAGGTCAGGTCCAATATTGTCTATGCACCCAAGAGGGAAAGTGGTTGGGCCATCCTAGAAATGTTTTAGAGTAATATAATTGATTCAATTTAGCAGACGATTTTAGCCAAAGCGACTTAAAGTCATGCGTGCATAAATGTTTACGTATGGGTGGTCCCGGGAATCAAACACTTTATCCTGGTGTTGCAATGCTCTACCAAGATACAAGACAAATGTATAAATGCTTTGTGAAGCCTCAATTTAATATGATTTATAAAGCCTTTATTAAGTGGTGCTTATGCAACCCTTTATAAAGCACAGGTTTATGTCATATTTGACATAGTGGGTTATGTCACATTTTACATTGGTGGTTATATCACACAATTGTGCCACATTTATGAACCCGTTATAGAGCATGACATACGGTTGTAGGTGATTTGTGACACATTTATGTAGTGTTTATGAAGTGTTTATGTAGGCTTTATGAAGGCTTTATAAGCTGCACGTCATTTAAACCGGGACCTAATAGAGTCATAATTTTATACATATTTTATAATATTAGATGATGCATACCCAGACACACTTGTCTAAATTGATGGGTCATGTGAAATAAATGCTATAATCACCCCCCAGCCACATCTAGCTAAGTGGATGGGTCACTATTGTCTATACATGTACACCTGGCTAACTTGATGGGTCATGTAATCATCTGTCGAAGTGGACTCTTTTGTTTAGACATGTTACTAGCTAGCTAGCTAAACAATAAACCATAATTCCAACCCATACAGTAGCAATAGAAACATAGCTATACACCATGCATGACATTATGTAGTATGAATCTGCAGGTAGCTAAAGCTAACCAACTAGGGTCAATGTTAGCTAGCTAACAGTACGCTTGCACTTGCAATGAAAATGACTTTGACAAAATTAGAAACTTAAAATATCTGAAAATGCAGCTAGACTCTTACCCGTATACATGGATGAATGCTTCACGGCAGACTGGAACCCCTTTCCCTAAGTAAGAAGTCCTCTGTTGTTTGTGTTTTGTTTGTACAGCTTGCTTGGCCCGTTGTGTCAAGTCACTCTGGTTCACATTGACCGTGTGCAATGCCATAAGAATCATCATATCTTTCTCCCTCTCGGTCACGGATGGCATGGTTGCCCTTAGTTTGAAGATGTAATCCAGAGACAGGTGTTTTATACAACAGCCTTCTGTGTTCTCTTTTCGACTCCCTCTGCATTTGCAATCAAACGTCTGAATTTTCACACCCCTGAGTCAACACTTTGTAGAAGCACATTTGGCAGTGATTACAGCCGTGAGTCTTTCTAGGTACATTTCTAAGAGCTTTCCACACCTGGATTGCGCAACATTTGCCCATTATTATTTAAACAATTCTTCAAGCTCTGTCAACTCGGCCACTCAGGAACATTCACTGTCTTCTTGGTAAGCAACTCCAGTGTAGATTTGGCCTTGTGTTTTAGGTTATTGTCCTGCTGAAAGGTGAATTCATCTCCCAGTGTCTGGTGAAAAGCAGACTAAACCAGGTTTTCCTCTAGGATTTTCTTTATCCTGAAAAACTCCCCAGTCCTTAATGATTACAAGCATACCCATTATAACATGATGCAGCCACTACTTTGCTTGAAAATATGGAGAGTGATACTCAGTAATGTGTTGTATTGGATTTGCCGCAAACATAACACTTTGTATTCAGAACAAAAAGTTAATTGCTTTGCAAAATTTTTTGCAGAAGTACTTTACTGCCTTATTGCAAACAGGATGCGTGTTTTGGAATATTTGTATTCTATACAGGCTTCCTTCTTTTCACTCTGTCAGTTAGGTTAGTATTGTGAAGTAACTACAATGTTGTTGATCCATCCTCCATTTTCTCCTATCACAGCCATTAAACTCTGTAACTGTTTTAAAGTCACCATTGGCCTCATGGTGAAATCCCTGAGCGGTTTCCTTCCTCTCCGGCAACTGAGTTAGGAAGGACGCCTGTATCTTTGTAGTGACTGGGTGTATTGATACAGCATCCAAAGTGTAATTAATTACTTAAATGTCAGATTTTTTCATTTTTACCCATCTACCAATAGTTGCCCTTCTTTGCGAGGCATTGGAAAACATCCCTGGTCTTTGTGCTTGAATCTGTGCTTGAAATTCACTGCTTAACTGAGGGACCTTACAGATAATTGTATGTGTGGGGTACAGAGATGAGATAGTCTTTAAAAAATCATGTTAAAACACTATTATTGCACACAGAGTGAGTCCATGCAACTTATTATGTGACTTGTTATGTAAATTTTTACTCCTGAACTTATTTTGGTTTTCCATAACAAATGGGTTGAATACTTATTGACTTAAGACATTTCAGCCTTTCATTTGTAATTAATTTGTAAAATGTAGAAACAGAATTCCACTTTCACATTATGGGATATTGTGTGTAGACCAGTGACCAAAACAGTCTTAATTTAATCCAATTGAAATTCAGGCTGTAAAAAAACCAAATGTGGAAAAAGTCAGGGGGTGTGAATACTTTCTGAAAAACATGGACAGTCAGGTGCATCGCATATTCAGAACCGTTGGACAGCAACATAATAAACTAAAGCACTGATCATTGGGAACGAGATCAGAATAACTGCTAAGGCAAGGTAGCCTCGCCTACAAAACTAAAACAATCCATATGTTCAAATCAAAAGGCCTGATTAACATGACATCAACAGCCACATCCCGAGTCTCTGGTGCCGACACATTCAGAAATCGAAATATGGTTGAGTATTCAGTTTAAAAACTCTGACGAAGGCCAAGAAAACCAGAAACACTTTTCAATGAGAAAACAGAAATCCACTTTGGGTAAAAAAAACATATATATAGACTTCTGTTTTCAAGTAGCCTACGATGCAATACTTGTGATCATTTTAAGGAGAACAAAAACTACTTAGCCTACATTTGAACACCCCCGCAGAAGCTTTGCTATTCGGCAAAGTAGCCTAGTTTTGTTGTTTGGCTACTTGAAGAGAACTAGGTCCTATCACTCACAGCCCACCTCTTCCAATGCATTGTGGACAAGTGTGCATCGAATTCTACTAGATGAAGAGCCGAAATGAGTATAAAAGCCTGGCATTTAAACCATACTGGATTTTTGAAAATGTACATACTATAACTCATTCTATTTTCGCATACTGAGAATGCGTCATGCGCGATTGCATTTTTTCCTGCTATTCATTGATTTCGGTAGCACATCCCCATATCTAATTGATCAGCTGTTGTCAAAGCTGAAATTAATGACATCCGGGCATTTAAAGTATGCTTGATTTTGGAAATGTTGCATACTATTAAACGTCATTTTTATGTGTACTCAAACGGCCTACTATTTAGGACGCAAGTATGGGAATTCGGACACAGCTACTGTCTGTCAGCACATTTCCCAGGCCTCTCTCTCTCGCTGTGTGTATGTGTGTGTGTGTGTGTTTGTGTGTGTGTACTCACTGACGTCCTCAGACAGAGGGGGGAACTCATAGATGTGTTCGCAAGTGTTCTTGCTACTGGGCATACAGAAGCCAAACTCAAAGTCAAAGCTTTTGAGCAGCTTCTCTCTGAAGTAGTGCCTCTCAATCATCCGGAAGTTCTCTATGGGCATGTCTCCTATGGTGAACTCAACACTGAGAGGGGGGAAGGATGGAAGAATGGTGAGATAAAGGCAGAGAGGGGGGAGGGGGAGAGGCAATTTCCTTGGGATTAAAATGCATCCCTCTTTGGGGGTTAGGGTTACAGACTTCCTTCTGAGTTAAGGGGTTAGACTTACGTGGCACCAACTTGTCTTAGGCGGAGGAAGGCGGGGGTGAACTGGTAGCGGACAAACCTCCCGGCATTTGGATCAATGGCCCTTTTATCTCCTGCTTTATCTACACACACAGAGAGAGAGAGAGAGAGAGAGCGAGCGAGAGAGAGAGAGAGAGTGAGCGAGCGAGCGAGCGAGCGAGCGAGAGAGAGAGAGAGAGAGAGAGAGAGCGAGAGAGAGAGAGAGCGAGAGAGAGAGAGAGAGAGATAGCACTCAAAGGTAAGACTCATCATAATAGGCCAGTCAGACCCCTGTGTGTGTGTCTCACCTGTATTAGGAGGTTTGGTGATTTCGAACAGCACTGTGCCTGTCTCCATGTCTCTGATCTTGAACCTGGTGAAGTCAATGCAGTACACATTCTCACCTGGCCCACACAAGTAGTCTGATAGAGGGAGATAGAGAGGTAGGGAGGGAGAGAGAGAGGGACAGAGAGGGCAGTGGGGGGGAGGGAAAAGGAGAGAAAGAGAGGATGTTAATATAATCACAATTATATACTATTTATTTTCATTCTTTATAGAAGAAAGAAAGTCTGCATCCACTGATCCCCTGTTTCTGTAAAGTCTTTAAATACTGTAAATCCCCATATGGTTGCCAATGTTGAGTGCATAACAACAACCTTGAGGATCACACATACACTGTAAATAGGTTAGGTTACCAGGAATACAAAGGGAGGAGATTACCAAAGCAATGTTCTATTATTATTTTTAAAAGATTTAAACAGAGAAATCCTATTGAGACCAAGTCCTCTTTTACAATGGAGCCCTGCACACAATCATATAAATTCACAATTTTTACAATTCCAATGCAAAAAATAACAATATTTACGAGCTATTTCAGAAAAGTAACTTACAAAATTGAAAAACAAACACATTCCTCAACCAGCTGTCTGAACTGCCCCTAGTGGCACCAAAACATCAAACTGGAAATCATTCCAAAAAAACTAAACCTAACTCTGTGGAGACCGAAGGGATCTCGAAAGTTAGCCATACCTGTGATCTGGTCTGGTGACTCAAATGTCTGTAATTCAATAATGATGTAAGGGTTTTATAAACAAAAAGAGAGCAGTGCACTGATCTACGAGATTTAAGAGAGGGCCAGTCTGATACAGAATTCAGTGATGTGTACTGAACCTATCACCCGTAATAAAGTGTAGTGCGCTATGATAAACTGCGTCCAATGGCCTAAATACTGTGACATTCATATAGACAATATCACCATAATATAAAGCCGGAATGAATGTCGACTGAATTATTAGTTTTCTGCTATTTAACTAAAGGAATTCCTATAAAGGAGGCCCATTTTTAATTCTTAACTTCTTAACCAATTTATCAATATGCTTTTTGAAAGATAGCTTTTCATCAATCCAGATTCCCAGATATTTACACTGAGTCCCGTCTCCCCCCCCTCCTACCCCCCCTGTCCTTTTGCCTTCAGAACAGCCTTAATTTGTCAGGGCATGGACTCTACAATGTGTTGAAAGCGTTCCACAGGGATGCTTCCATCTGTTCTGAGGTTGATCCTTTCTCCACTACCATAAAACTGCTCTCCTCTACTTTCTGTTTTCTCTCTTCCGCTCTCCATCTTCTTCCTGTTCTACTCTCATTTCTCTCCTCTCTTCCTCTCCTCTACCAATTTTATCTTCTTAATTCTCTACACACACACACACACACACACACACACACACACACACACACACACACACACACACACACACACACACACACACACACACACACACACACACACACACACACACACACACACACACACACACACACACACACACACACACGCACACACACACACACACACACACGCACACACGCACACACAGGAATGCATTTCAGTTAACAGGTGTGCCTTCTTAAAAGTTAGTTTGTTGAATTTCTTTACATCTTAATGCATTTGAGCCAATCAGTTGTGTTGTGACAAGGTAGTGGGAGTATACAGAAGATAGCCCTATTTGGTAAAAGACCAAGTCCATATTATGGCAAGAACAGCTTAAATAAGCAAAGAGAAACGGCAGTCCATCATTACTTTAAGACATGAAGGTCAGTCGATATGGAAGATTTAAAGAACTTGCAGTCACAAAGCGTCAACCATCAAGCGCTATGATGAAACTGGCTCTCATGAGGACCACCACATGAATGGAAGACCCAGAGTTACCTCTGCTGCAGAGGATAAGTTCCTTAGAGTTACCAGCCTCAGAAATTGCAGCCCAAATAAATGCTTCACAGAATTCAAGTAACAGACACATCTCAACATCAACTGTTCAGAGGAGACTGTGTGAATCAGGCCTTCATGGTCTAATTGCTGCAAAGAAACCACTACTAAATGACACCAATAAGAAGAAGAGAATTGCTTGGGACAAGAAACACGAGCAATGGACATTAGACCGGTGGAAATGTGTCCTTTGATCTGGAGTCCAAATTGGAGATTTGCACTCCGCCGTGGCTTTGTGAGATGCGGTGGGGGTGAACGGATGATCTCTGCATGTGTATTTCCCACCGTAAAGCATGGAGGAGGAGGTGTTATGATGTGGGGGTGCTTTGCTTGTGACACTGTCTGTGATGTATTTAGAATTCAAGGCACACTTAACCAGCATGGCTACCACAGCATTCTGCAGCGATACACCCTATAATATAATAATAAATAATAATATGCCATTTAGCAGACGCTTTTATCCAAAGCGACTTACAGTCATGCGTGCATACATTTTTACGTATGGGTGGTCCCGGGGATCGAACCCACTACCCTGGCGTTACAAGCGCCATGCTCTACCAATTGAGCTACAGAGGACTCACGACACCCTCCCATCTGGTTTGGGCTTAGTGGGACTATGATTTGTTTTTCAACAGGACAATGACCAAACCACACCTCCAGGCTGTGTAAGGGCTATTTTACCAAGAAGGAGAATGATGGAATGCTGCAGATGACCTGGCCTCCACAACAACCAGAACTCAACCCAATTGAGATGTTTTGGGATGAGTCAGACGGCAGAGTGAAGGAAAAGTGCTCAGTATATGTGGGAACTCCTTCAAGACTGTTGGAAAAGCATTCCAGGTGAAGCTGGTTGAGAGAATGCCAAGAGTGTGCAAAGCTGTTATCAAGGCAATGAGTAAGTGTGTCCAAACTTTTGACTGGTACTGTACATACATACATAGATAGAGAGAGGGGGCTGGCAGTTGCATCACAAATCATCTAGCAACCACACCAGGCAACCTATTGTAAAACCAGAGTCATTATGGTGGAAGAATAGTGCCTCCTGCTGGCCATTTACGTTGATGGCACAATTTCTTTTTAATATCTTTCTGGGTCAGAAAAAGCGCAATAAAAAAAAAAAATGTAGGTACAGATCAACATAGCTAAAACGGAATGGTCCCAAAATGTGGATTTGTATCCATTTATTAGCTATTGTCACATTGTTAACTAGTCTTCAGCCCAAGCCCCTACTCTATGGAAGATCTGAAAGCATACAAAAGGTTTACAGGCATACTTTTTCATTTTTGGATGGGTGAGACAACTGAGGGTGGCAATCCGAAATGGGATCCATATCTTGACAGCTAGGGTAAGTGTGTTTTTCATTTTACATGATACTGGTAAGCTAGCTTACTTTGCGGCATCCCTGTTCTTCCCTATTCTTGCTGCTACTTCCACAGTTTGTGCACTGCTCAAATGACCCATTCAATGATAAACCACCTGTTGAAACGTAATAATACATGTAATATCCAATGAAGCCACAAGGGGGAGATACAACACTGCAAAACCAATGACTAAACGTGAGAAACCCCCATTCCATTTTTGCCTCACTCATCCATAGCCTAATTAGGATAATACTAAATGTTGGTCACAAAATGTATACTGTATTTTCTGTCAGTCAACTAAAACCCATACAGACCTTTGAATCTTGCTTAGGCTACTAACATTAGCCAATATGTTTTTAACCTGTTTGACAGGTGTTACACTCTGCGGGAAACCACAACCTCTCCCTGGATTATGGCAGAACAGTCAGGAAAAGTGCTGGCAGCTCACTGTGCATGGCGTAATTGGACGAAGCTTGCTCCCACATAGCTGCAGTCCTATTTTACATTGATGCTGCTGTCAGAATCAGAGACACCAAGACTGTCACAGCGGAGAAAGCTTACTGGAAGCTACCATCTGTCATGCACAACTTGGAGTACAAGCCAGTAGCTGACATTGATTTTCAGAGTGTCAGGTCAAAACAGCAGTCATTGGACTGTTCAATCAAAGGAGCTTGTTCAGCTCAGCCACAAGCCCCACGAGTGAAGTCCATGTGCTCTGAGATAAAGCCAACCTCTCCAGCTGATCTTTCAAGTCCCTTGGAGAAGCTCAGTATGTGCAAGTCCAAGCACGCCATCCTGTCACTCATTTCACAGTATTCCGAAAAATACACACCAAGGTCAGCTACAGAGGACTTCCCCTAAGTACTCCCGGTTCTGTGGAGCGAAGCCTGCAGCATAATGAGTCCTGAGGAGTTAAAAGCCCACTGTGACACCATCAAAATATCAGTGACAGAAGAACAGGCCAAGAATGTTGAAGAGGCAACAAGAATAATCCTCAAGCAAATTGTGGTTTCGCTACAGAGCTGGGAGGGTTACAGCATCCCGCTTTGGATCTGTTTGCAAAACTGACCCCTTAAAGCCATCCCAGAAGCCTTGTCAAAACAATCTGCTACCCTGAAGCGGGCAAATTCAAGTCTGCAGCCACTGCATGGGGTTGCTCACATGAAAGTCTTGCACGGGCTCAGTATCAGAGCATGATGACCTGCTCTCATGAGAACTTAGTAATTATGAAGGCAGGTCTATTCATCAACCAGCAGTACCCCTTTATTGGTGCCAGTCCAGATGGACTTGTCAGTTGCGATTGCTGTGGAATGGGCTGTGTGGAAATGTAATGTCCTTTCTGCCAGAGGAAGGATGCTGTCAAACCAGGATATGAGCATGGAAGTGTGAAATATCTGAAGCAGATGATGGGATCCTTAGCTTAAAACATATGCACAACTACTACTACCATCAATACTACCACCAAGATGAACACATGCAATGTCCTGTATTCAGACTTAGTTGTCTGGACTGAAGCTGTCATTCATATTGAAAGAATAGAGAGAGATGTTGAATTCTTTGAGAGGAATACACTGATTGCTGAGCACTTATTTAAGGTTGGAGTCCTGCAAGAGTTAACTGGGAAACTTCTCTCCCAGAAGGTCTTAGTGGCACTTGGAGGTGCCACTGTGATAATGAAGATGGTTTGCCTAAGATTACAACAACAATTACATTGTACAGTGGGTTGTGAAAGTATTCACCCCCCATTGGCATTTTTCCTATTTTGTTGCCTTACAACCTGGAATTAAAATTGATTT